ACAGTATAATTACCCAACGATATAATTGCGACAGAATATATTGAAGTGTATTTTTCTTCCCATTAGGGGTTCTATTTTTTAAAATGGAAATGTCCTAGCCTTATGAGCAGTTGATTTATGCTAATCGACGGACTGTTATGTTAAGAAGTGCCGTCATTCGGTTATGTTTATTATATTAATGTTTCAGCACGTTACAATCATTATATGGCTTGAGTTAAGGTAGCCTATCTTCTGAATTAAACAGTTTATCATACAGATTGAAAGCGTGAATCCCATCTCTCTCCATCTCTCTCTGTTTGGGTGTTTGTGCGTGCTTGGGGGGGAGGGGTGTGATTTTCGAATAATAATCGAATAATACCCAGCGATTTTCTAATATTATTTTTGCTTGGAATGCCCATCCCTACTAGGGTATAATGCCACTGTTTTACATGGTATTTGAAGTGTCGCACCATTGTTCTGTCCTCAATATTTTTTCATACTTTTCAGGTGAGGTAGACTGGGCAAAAGGCAAAGTGTCAGGCGCAGTCTACTGGGGGGATGAGAAGCTCACGGATCTCCTGGTGAAGGTATAATGGCCTTGCAAATCATTAGATCAGTAAATCCCAATAAGGGCTATATGTGTTCCAGAGGGTACTTTTGATTTTGCGTTTATCTATAAAACTGGACGAAAAATGAAATAAAATAATCAAGGTTAATCTCATAATTCAGCTCCTTTTTCAAGAAAAGAAAGCAAACAATGTGTGCAATGTTTTTATAACTTTGTTTTATAAGTGATGTGTCTTTGATTCACCCACAGTATTGATTTTCTTAAAAAGTGACTTTAATAATAAAATAATAATGATGATATTAATAATTAGAAATGATACTGGTAATTATTAAATTAGATCAATTATATCCAGAATAACATCTAATTTAATTCAATAATCAGTACTGTTGAAAAGGTTGGGGTCAGTAAAGTTTTTTTTTTAAATTTTTTTTTTAAAATCTTATGCTCACTAAGGCTGCATTTTGTTGGTTTGATTAACAAAAACATGTGAAATAATATTATTACAGTACAATAACTGTTTTCTATTTTGATATATTTTAAAATGTAGTTTAATGTTGAAAACCGTTGCATTGCTTTATATTTTTGTGGAAAATGTGATACATTTTTAGGGTTCTTTCTTTGATGAATAGAAAGTTCAAAAGAACAGCATTTATTTGAAAAAGAAATCTTTTGCAACATTATAAATGTATTTGCTGTCACTTTTGATGAATTGAATGCATTCTTGCTTAATAGTTTATTTATTTATTTTAAAAAAATCTTTCTGACTACGGGCCCCCACTTACTATTGTTGATGAAGTGTTATTTGATGGGGTTGTGGGTTGATATGACAAACAAGGTTGGGGAACACTTGCTTTGATTTTCACTTTACCTTTGAGTCAAGCAGAGGCTTCATAATACAAGAAACAATTCTTGGATTTTGTTTTGTGTTCCTCTGATTTGCAGGTATATGGGGAGTTTGCCTGGTCCAACCCCCTCCACCCAGACCTGTTCCCTGGGGTTAGGAAGATGGAGGCAGAAGTGGTGCGGATGACGTGTGCCCTCTTTAATGGAGGCCCAGACTCCTGTGGCACAGTCAGTCCTTCTCACTGTCTTCCCTGAGGGAACAATGTATTTGTGTGAAGTTCCAAAAATGTATCAAGTCATTTAATTCGCACAATTTTGTAAAATACTCATTGTTTCCCATTGCTCACTCAGTAAACACATTTGTAAAAATTTTTTTTTTTTTGCATATTATTAATACAGTTTGCGCTTGAGATAATATCTAAATGTTGAAAAATATCTCCTTAAAAGAATCTATAAAACGTTATGAGAGTCGCATACATTTACTACATTCACACAGCAGCAGAATTAAGTATTTTTTACAACTATTCCACAACAAAAGAAAAGCGGCTTGACTTGAGTATTTCATTAACCTAGACCGTTTTTGATCCACTCCCATAAGCTGTTGAACATTATGTTTGGGACAATTTGAGAGTCGCTTTGGTCAATCCCAAATGAACTTCCATTTGCTCATTTATCAGTCCATTGTTTCAAAATCGGAAGACTGTATCGTATAACATCAAGTTTCTTCTGTTGACTCAAACCGAACCATTTGTTTTGTGTGTTCCTTTCATGAAAAGGTTACTTCAGGTGGAACAGAAAGCATCCTGATGGCATGCAAGGCGTACAGAGACATGGCTCATGAACGTGGCATTAAACACCCAGAGATGTAAGTATCATTTCAATCTAGTCAAAACATTCAGCCTCTGCAGTCAAAATACTGTTTAGGTCAATTTACAGTAGTTGTCAACCCACACTGTAAACAATATAAACATGCTATGGATGGCTACTCATTTACATAGGACGTATAAACAGTGCAACTTTATATTTAACAAGTGCACTCAGGTTTTTCAGTTTTATTTTACTTGACAGAATTGGTGTTTATTAGTGCACCTTAAAGGCAGTTGTTTTATTCAATCCCACTGTGTAATTTTTTGTCGTTTTGTTTTGTCTGTGCACTAGTATTGCACCAGTGAGTGTCCATGCAGCGTTTGACAAAGCAGCACATTATTTTGGGATGAAGCTCATTCACATACCCCTAGACAAGAAGACCATGAAAGTCGATGTGAAGGTAGTGCTGTGTCTGGTTTGGCACATTTTTGTGAATATTGACTAGCCTGATGTTCACCTAATTTAAATGACTACTTTTTTTTTCGGTCATAGGCAATGAGGAGGGCCATCTCTAGAAACACAGCGATGCTGGTGTGTTCAGCTCCTCATTTCCCCCATGGAATTATGGACCCTGTAGTAGAAGTGGCGAAGGTAATGTTTGCTTATTCAGATGGGCATGTAATCCAATGCCCATATTGTAGTATAAATTAATCTACAATGTTTTCTGTATTTTAAATATGATTAAATATAATTTATTCTTTTAGCTTGCAGTAAAATACAACATCCCATTCCATGTGGATGCATGCTTGGGAGGGTTCCTAATAGTTTTTATGGAAAAGGCGGGTTTCAAACTTGATCCTTTTGATTTCCGGGTCAAAGGTGTGACCAGTATCTCAGCAGATACACATAAGGTGAGAAGGTTTTTTTTTTTTTTTTTAATAACTTTAATAAAACACAACTGTTTCCAGCTGTAAACAACAGCATATTAGAATGATTTTTGAAGGGTCATGTGACACTAAAGACTGGAGTAATGGCTGCAGAAAATTATGCTTTTTTCCATTTTTACTGTATTTTTTATTTAAATATACTAACATTTGTATTGTTATCTGCCCAGATGTCTTCATGAAATTAAATGCAAAGTTGATTTTATTTTAAAATCAGTGTCTTTGTCCCCACAGTATGGTTATGCTCCCAAAGGTTCCTCGGTGGTGCTGTACAGTGACAAGAAATTTCGCCACTACCAGTATTTCGTAGCACCTAATTGGCAGGGAGGAATTTATGCATCTCCGTCCATGGCTGGCTCTCGGCCTGGAGGCATAATTGCTGCCTGTTGGGCTACTATGATGCACATGGGTGAGAAGGGATACGTTGAGGCCACCAAGAAAGTCGTTGAGACGGCCCGTAAAATCAAAGCAGGGTCAGTATTAATATTAATATAATTATAATATAACACATGAAAGACACAGGCAAGGTGTTGCTTTGAATGTATATCAACTGTGGTAAATGTAAATTTGCATGGCAGGTAACATTTACATGCCAGGAAGGGCACTGTACACAGAAACAACATCTTAAAACTCTCTCTTCCCACAGAATCCGTCAAATAGATGGGGTGTTTGTATTCGGGGACCCAGAAGTGTCTGTGGTGGCACTAGGCTCTGATGTTTTTGATATCTTTCGCTTATCTAATGCACTGACTTCAAAGGGCTGGAATCTCAACACTCTGCAGTTTCCATCTAGGTATGGTTAAAAAACAAAATGTGTTCAATGTGGAAATGTGCAGGTTATGCAAACTAATGTAATATCTCTAAAACAAACTGAAAGGTAGTTAGGTTAGGAACAATTCAAATAGATCAGTATTATTTGTTATTATGTATAGGCATCAAAGCATCAATTTTAAGCAATGGTCAGAAAAGTTGTTCCTTAGATCATTGTTCGCTGTTCTCTTTCAGCATCCATATTTGTGTCACAATGCTACACACACAGCCTGGTGTAGCTGAGCAGTTCATTAGTGATGTGAAGAGAGAAGTAGCCATTATCATGAAGAATCCTAAAGAGAAGACTACGGGAATGGTGAGTTTCCTTTTCATTAAATATACTATTCACTTGTAGTTTCACTATTAAGTTCACCGTTTGTTCAAAAGTTTCTTATGCTCACCAAACCTGCATTTATTTGATTAAAAATAGAGTAACAGTTAGGGTTCTTTCATGAATAGAAAGTTCAATGTAAAGGTCTTTACTGTCACTTTTGATCAGTTTAATGCATACTTACTTGAATAAATGTATTAATTAATACAATAAGTTTGCATTCCTAAACATTGACAAAATTCACTTCTAACAGATGTATGCATTTAAACTGATTTTGTCCAACCAAATTCTGTTTAGAATTGTCATTTTGGTTGAACTTCACATTTCAAGTTTATATATAGCTATTTTTGTCAGGCAATTGTACATAAGAACACAGATGAGTAAAATCCTCACTTGGCACTCTAGTCCACTTCGGTCTATTTGTACATGTATAATCCCATCTGATAAACCATAATGAAATAACTCTGAATTAACTTCCCCTTTATGTTATAGGGAGCCATCTATGGCATGGCCCAGTCCATTCCTGACCGATCGATGGTGACTGAGGTCTCACAGGGCTTTTTGGACTGCCTCTATAGCACTGAGGTGCCCAAGATACAGAGCAAGCACCACAAAAACCATAAGAACCACTTGAATGGCAACTCCAAAGCGCACTGAGATTGACTGTTGGGGTCGCCACCCATAGCTGGCTGAAGGGAAGTTCACCACAATCTAATCATTCATTTACTTCATTTAGTCATCTATTTACAACTAACTATTTTATGTATAACCCATAGTCACCTGACATTTTGGGATTTGTGACTAAGGAGCGACAGTCTGTAAGGCTATAGAGACAGCTGCCCAAATATCTATGAGTCTGTGAAGGGTCTGCGACTTATTCATTTAATTTTGGTGACCAGTGAGTGCAGTTTTACTTGTTTCATTTCTTACATCTCTTATTTTTATGACCAGTGCACACCATATGTGTTTGATTGCATTTCCACTATTATCTTTAGAAGTGTTTTCTGCCACTTAAACCTCAGGATACCAGGGCATAATGTTGTCACATTGATTTTACATTTTACATGTTATTGAAAAGCTGTTTCCAGGAATTAAATAATGCAGATTAGACCAAAATCCATAATACTATCAACATGGATAAGCCATGGGTGTTAGTATTTTAAATATTCCCATTAGCTCCTTCACAATAGAAACTTGAAAACATCAGACCATTTTAGGATGGTAGTACTGCACAGGTGAACCTGTCTAGCAAATGTTTAATTTTATTTCATTTTAAATTCCCTATAACGAGGATAGATTTGATAATCCAGTTTCAAAACATTCATCTTATTTAAGAGAAAATATCTCTGATTTTAAGTTACCTATGAAAAATGATATCAGTAACAATTCCAACCACCAGGTTGTGAAGTTTAACCATATTTCCAGGTTCAAATTCCCATCCATTTGGGTTTTCAATGATCACATTTCACCCTATCTACCTCAGATCTAAAATAATTGTGCACATAATCATTATTGGTTTCCCTTAAGTCCAAATCCTGAAAAATGTCACGTAAGTGGGCATTTTGATCATCAGTCAATGTCATGCTCCAGGTTATGGTACTCACTGACAACAGTTTTCAGAGAGTCAAAGACCCCCTTGATTCATGAGTCTTTCTTTTGTGTGTTGTATTTGTTTGGGATCTTTGTTCCAGCTTAACTCAACTGAATGATAGCTAAGGCCTGGAACAGCAAGAAGGGAAATTAATTTGTGCATGAAGTCTGTGATATGAGGAAGTGATGACATGGTACCATGGAAACATCACACCAGATCTAGTCAGCAGTGTAATCCCTTAAGCACTCATAATATTTGTGACCACTGTGTGTGTTTTTATATTTTAAATCACTAATATAATGTCTCATATTTCAGTGTGTGTGTTTTTTAATTCAGTAATTTCCATGTACTTTTTTTAACCTCTTTTTGGGGTGCTTCAAGTAGGAGGTAGGACAGTTTTCTTCTGTATGATACAACTGTAGTAGTGTAGTCTCAAAAACTGTAACATGCCTTAGGGCTAGGACATAGATGTGGATATTTGTCTTCAAACAGTTACCCTACTTGCCTAAATGAAGCATTTTCAATGTTTTTATGCAATAATCTGTAATTACTGTAACTACTGAAACTGTGGCACCTTGATCTGAATTTTTTGAAGCATTACATGACCTTTACGGTTATGGTTGTATAAAGCACAAAACTAACAGCATTCACCTAAATGCCTTCCACTGACATCAGGGTGTGTGCTATTAGGTTAACACAGTAGCTACATCAGCCTCAGGGACTAGGCCTTTGCCACATCATGCAATCCATTTCAATTTTGTCCTGTGTTTTTGTTGTTCATATATAAATCAATAAAATTTGTCTTGAAATAAATATGCTGGTCAGCAATAGATTTACTATTCACTGTTTTACTGAATAAGGGGCCGTTCACTCAGAACTTGTTTTTGCATTCACTGCACTACCTTTTTATTATTTTTCTATGAAAACGTGCTTGACAGATGCATTGAGCTTCTGTCTTTTGCAGCTTTCTAAAAACATGACGTTCAATTTAACAGTTCTACTTTTAAAAATCTTAAAAAAGATGTGTATTTCTTGGCGCCGATAGCCTTGAGGTCAGCACGCTGACAAACATTGCCGTTGCGCTGTGGGCGTCCTGAGTTCGATCTGGTGGACCTTTCCTGCTCCCACTTCACTTCCTGTAATTACACTGTCCTATCTAAGGCAAAATGCCAAAAATAAATATTTTTTAAAAAGTATATATTTTTTCCTTTGCATCTCATGTGTTTAAATGCAAAAACATAACCGTCGTTCATGCAAAACAGCACTACAAAATGGAAAAGAATGCAATGCCTGGAAAACCTGCATGCAATTAGGTGCAAACTTCGTCACTCTCGAGCACATTTACAAAAACATGTTTCATGTAAATCAGCCCATATGTTTACACAAGTTCAACACTGTGTTAATTTTTGCGTTTTTTTTAGAGCTGCTGTCTTAAATCCAAAAAGACACTTTTGTGCCATCATTGATTAAACAGTAGGCAAGTGCTTTGACAGATGATACATTGATTTCACAGTGCCAAAGTTGGCAAATATTCAGTTTAATACAATTCACTGAGGCACTAACCATGTCATCGCTGGATTACATCAAATGGAAATAAAGGCACCATATATTTACTTTAAAAAAAGATTTTAAGCCATAGAAAACAGTAAGGTAATAGTGCTTGACCGGTCTCTTTAGTGTGCTAGCAATTCTCATCTCTGATCTGTAGTACGTTTATGTATTGTGTGAATGTAAAATTATTTAAAAGAAGAAATTTCTCCTGATCGTTCCATTAATACTTATTGGGAAATGATTAGGCGTAACAGGCAGACTACACACAGTCAAAACTGATAGGGTGATAACAGTGGTAAATGAAGTTTTTTACAATATTTTTGGTTTTACAGGCTACAGAGGTCAACTGACAAGCTGTCAAGTGACAGGGTCCATTCAGAGGACAGAGGCCTGATCTATAAAGGTTGCAAGTGTGATGTCACGCTGTGAGAGTCCTCCACATTCATGAGTACTGAGGGTGATCTGAACCTACCAGAGAGAAAACAAGCAGATGCTCAATAGAATTAAATTAATACACATTCCTAGTCTTATTGGTCAATTAACCAGTGCATGTTTTTCAAAATGCAATGTGTTTCTTCTCTGAAACTTTTTGTCCCTTTTGTATTTGTAAAAAAAAAAAAAAAAAAAAAAAACTTTTTCTAAATTATACAATGTACTATGTTATTTAATAATTATTTTTGAAGAATACTAAATATAATTTATAATTAACATTATATTTTCAAAATAAACACACTACTGCAATCACAGCCATGACCCTCAATGTATTAAAAAATGGTACACTGATGAACGTATTATGTATTTACCTTATTATACACGTTAAACCATTCAGGGTGATGATCCATTTTCTCAGCCTGTAGTGCTACTCTGGACATGAACCCAAAAGCCTAAAGGGGAAAGCGCATGTCCTAGCATTGTGCATACAGTACATAAAAGTATGATGCAAGCTGCATGTATATGAATTGTGAAGTATACAACTAGATGAAGTAGATAGCTTGGAAGAGGTTATTACCTGGTTGAAGTCTTTGAAGAGGAACTCTTTGTAAATGGCATCTCTCCCCACCACCTCCACCCACTGAGCGTTCCTCATCATGGGCAGGATGTGCTCCCTCTCCTCCATAGTAAGAGTCTGGATCTTCCCAGCCTGAGTGTTTAAAACGGTTCTCATTAGAAAATATCCTTTAATTTCATGTATGTGGGTTTTGTGTGCTTTGTAAAAAAAAAAAATGTTCAAATCATGCCATCTCAGGGAGTAAAATGTAGTACGTGTATATACTGTAAAAACTTCTCCTGTGAAAAGTTGTTTACAATTTGTGTGTTCATTTATATTATTTAATATATTACTTGAAATAATAATTTTAATAATAATTTCACTTGACTTTAATAATGTGTGTGCATGAATATAAATGATTTAAATATTATTTAAATAAGTATTATAATTATATTGAAAATACTTAATTGTTAATAGAACACATAACATTTAAACAGTTTTCTAAACACTTATACTCTTTAAGCAACCATTCCAAGGGGGGTGTTTCAGAAAAAAGCGCTGTGATTGGTTGTTGTGAACCCCATATGGAAACAATGATGACTTGCATTTTAAATTTTAAGAGCTTCCACCATATTCCTGTGGTGGTTGGAGTAATTAAATTCCTCAGCTACTTAACTCTTCCCTCTTGCCCTTTCAGTAAAGATCACATGGGCTTCCAACACATGTCTGTTACAAGAAGACGTTCAAATATACATTTATTAAAAGGTAACTGACCTGAAAATATAGAATTTCTATATAAGCTAGTGCTAAACTTTGTTAAGAAATTTTGTGCACTTTTAATTGTATGAAAGGAAAATTAAACTGATTTGTGTCAGCATTTTCCTTTGTACTATCCACACACACACACTATTGTCCCTGACTAAACCATCAGTATATTGCGACAGAGCGCCTGTGTAAACACATGTCAGTCATAATGAAGCTCCAACACTGATAAAGCTGGCTGATGTCAACAGGTCTCTTAGCAACAGTCTAATCTGCTGAACTAATGCTGCTGCACGAACAGACACGGATCGAGAAGAAAGCGAAGTAAAACCACGAAAGCTTGATGATTGTTCTATTAAATGATTAACAGTGATGACAACATGCGCACTATAAAATGTGCTTTTAAAATCTACCAGAACAGTGTTGAATCGGCAAAAAAAAATCCTTTACTCGATTATGTCTAAAAAACAGTTAAAGGAAATCGTGTAATAGGACAACAAAACGTCAGAAACGTTCAAAAATGAATGTAAAAATAAAAATAACACCAGCCATTTCCAATATATTTAAAGCATTTTGTTTGTGCCAGTGTAATGCATTTATTTGCAACTTTGAGAGATATGCACAACGTGGTTTTTAGTCCACGTGCGATAACGATAATAAAATTGAAAAGGTTTTATATGTTTTTCTTACCATGTTGTGGGTGCTGTGCGTGTAGCGCTGATATGGTCTCGTGCAAGCAGCTGGATTTCAATCTGTTTCCACAGCGCAAATTACCAATCCTACTACGGTGAAGGGGCGTCTTATGAATATTAACTAAGTTGGGTGATTGGACGCTTTTTAAAAGTCACCAGGGAACGTCAGTACGCACTACTGAATATTAATATATGGGCCCTCTTGCTGCTGCGGCTGCCCTGCCAAAAGCCTGAACGAAGTAGGAATGTGTTTGAGTGTAGATAGAGTGTCAATGGTCCATTTGAGATATAGGTGGCGGTAATGCACTTATAAGTCTGCGATCCGCCGTAAAGCAAGAAGAAGAAGAAGAAGAAGAATGTGTTTGAGACTCACTCTGAGATTGAGAGAGAGAGAATAGGAGCAAGCTGGACACAGATGAAAGGACTGATAAAAACAGATTAAAAAAACAATGACTTCTAATAGCAAGCGTCTGTTCAGGAAACAAATGCGTGCCATTTCATGATAATACCTGACTGAATGCGGCAAAACGGGAAATTATCCCACTTGAATGAAAAGATTAATCCAGGGTCACACACAAACACAGGTCACTCACCTAACATGACAGAGAGTACAAACATGAGAAGTCATCATCTTCCCTTTTATCTCTGTGCTTTTTCTCCTAAGATAAGATAAGATTCATTTGATCAAGATAATTTCTGTTATTCTCTTTTCTACATTTATACACTAAACATAACATGTTTTGGATACAGATAATTGTGATTTGTGCCTTTTATGAATATGAAGTATCATCCTCATACTTATATGCTGTTTTTAGCTGTGTTCTTTATTCTTTTTACCTAGCAGCAGGTGCTACTCCCTAGTCAATTATCCTTCCTATCTTCGTTGGTCAATCTTTTGTTGTTTTCTGGTAATAAAATTGTCCAACACATCTCAAAGATCACATGTAATCACATGTACAGTACAGTGATCTTTGAGCGCTCTTTATTTTCATATGCTCAAAAAGAAGAAAAAGAAAAACAGCAGATTTGGGATTAACAATGAAGACAATCAATATCATGCAAGTTTTCTCTTTCTTCACTCTTCTCTCAGCAGGGCTGTGTGAGAGACATCATAAAGGTAAGTCATGGGTATGATATTCAAGTTTTTAAAATAAGTAAAAATGAACATATTCACTGTATTCATAGCATACTGCAATCTCTGTCCTTTTTTTTTAGTTTACAAGCTGAAAATGGATAAGGCATTGCTAATATTCCATAGCGAACTTCCGTACATCGTTAGTGTTTACTACACCTCAGATTATTGTTATAAGGTATATATACCCCCCCCCCGATTTAATATCTAATAATATAATAATATTAAATAATAATATAACATTTCTATGTAATATATGTAACAAACCTGTATGCCTGCTTGAATGGTCAAAAATGGCATATGTATGTTAGATGAATATTAAAGAAATGCTATTAAATGACAGCAATCTACCTCTTCGACAGTGTCTTTATCAGCCCCTTGCCACAGTTGGGAATGGGCAGAGCAATATTTCTGTAGTGGTGAGCACACAATTCACACTGACTCTAAAAATCACACCTGTGGATGGAAACGGCACTCTGTGCAGGTAAGAATCACCTTGAACTACACCTCAACTTGCTACATTAACCAACATCATACTAAATAATGATCCTTTTTAAATGAAGCCTTTTCAATAACCCTGTTTATAAATCAGGCACAGAAGGACCTTACATAGGCTAGATATATAGCCCTAATAGCCGCCAATTGCATTTGCAGTCACTGAGACTATTTATGACCATGTGTTTGAATGTGACCTGGCTTTAGTGCTGCCCTTTGGAGAATACCTCACTGTGCATTGATCGCACTGCATTTTGGGGTTAACAAGCTGACACTGGAATAATGATGATAAAGACCATTAAAACATCCAAGCTTGGGGGCCTCTCACAAACCCCAGCTGGGATGTTGGAAGGAGGAAACCGTAGCAATATTTACAAACAACCTGGGCCTCAAACAGTCATCAAGGTTTGGGCCGTTTTCAGATAGGTTGTCGGGAGTGTCTGATTTCATAAGACAAGTCACAGTATCTCTCCCACCGTATGGCTGGGGTCTAGTCCTGGGCTTCTTTAAGATCGATACCGAGGTCCCTTTCCAGACCGAGCCATTATCGATTTACTTTCTCCCCCAAAGAACGTGCCGGACACTATATCATTCCCAGGTCGATCAATAAAGGCTTATAGTGCACATTTTGGGGGATGATAAAGGTGAAATGGGTTCAAAAAATGCAGTTCTCCCTGTTGCCCTGTAGATGGCCTCCTTCAGCTTTTTCTATGTCTTTGTTTTGTTATTTTCAACTCCATGCTGCTTCAAAGAGCATTTATATCTACAATACAATCATAAAATACAAAAATGTTGGTGATGAACTATATAAATCAACTTGGTTTTTGTAAACATAAGGTGAAAGTTGATTTTTGGACTACTTTAGTTAAACAGTTACATCAGTCAGCAAACAATTTATGGTTAACAAGAAAACAACAAATTCATAAATCTGAAAATGTTGGTGATGATGTGTAACAGAAATGGTAAATAATGTTTAAAAAGAGGACAGCTTTTAAACAAAACATTAAAAATTCAATAACCATCATCACGACTATAACGATGGATCAGTGTTTTATTACATGTTGATGACATTATTTCTCCTCCCTAGTCTGAGTCAGACATTTGAGGAAGCTGGCCATTATTCTCTCTGGATGAGACAGTCTGGATTGCTAAATGATGTAACCTGTTCTCTCACTGTGGATAGGAGTCCGAATAATGCAAACCTGCGTAAGTATGCATGTTGTGTAATTAAAAACATTAAATAAGTCATCAAAAAGACACATATTGAGTTCCAAAGTTCAGAAGGAAAGCGCCTCTCTCATATCCCAGGAGTCAGATGAAACTGTATTGATCCGCTAAACTGCTCGTTTCTTGAAAAAACAGCTCAAAGAAAAGCTTTTCTGCCATGTTTGTTTTGGAAGATGCCCCGGGAGGGGAGCATTGTGGGAAATACATTAGAGGAGCGTGAAGGATTAAAGCATAATGGAGTTTTGAAAGCACCACACTCCATAATGCGCCGTCTACTTTGCAATAGTGCAGATTATGTTGTAGATCAGACTTTTGAGGGCAAGTAGCCATTATCTGTCAGATATGTGGCTAGTGTGACTAAACTCCCGGCTATAAGATGAGCTTCCATTAGGCGGACTGGCTGGTGATTACACTCCAGCTCCAAAGGGCTCTCACAACTTAAGTGATGGTGCTAGTGATCAGCAGATGTTAAGAAGAACTGATGAGGGGACAGCAGAAAAAAAAAACCCAGTCTGTTTTCATTTGAATTGCACTACCCAGAGTTTTTTTTTTTCCAGACTGATATTTTAAGGCTGTCTTGGACTGAAAAAGAGAAACTCTGACCTCAGTCTTGGGTCTGTGATGACTACAAGCAGTAAATTAAACATACAGTAATTGGTCTGCTTAACCTTAAACTCTAATTAACATTTGGACTGAAATTCGCAAATTAGAGTAACTTTAAGTGTTGCAGATTTTCAACTTAAGCAATTAGTGTTACATAATTTACTGTGAAATAAGCGTAGAATAATTTACTGAGGATTGAGTATAATTAGACAGTGATGATCAGCATTGACTGTATTACCTTTCACTACAAATAAACACATGACAGCAATTGTCCTCAAAGCTTGTTTTCAAAGGAAGCAATTGGTAGCTTTTGATTACAGTAAGAGTTTTCAAACATTTTGATGCCATGGACCCCCAAAAATTATTACCACTTTTTAAAATAAAAAGGGATTTAAATATTTTCAGGTATACAGACTGATTTTACTGTGTACGTAAAATGTGTGATATTATAAAGATGGCATGCCTCTAAAATTAAATAATTAGCTTTTATTGTGCTAAAGCACACTGTACGTTCCTAGAATGACCCCCCCCCCATCATATATGCAGATTAGTTTTTTTCCTTACTGTACTGATTAAAAATTGCGATTATTGTACTCTCAAATTTTATTTAAAAATTGTGTTAAATGTATTTTAAATATTAAACTAACTTTGTAAGCCCTAAAATATTTTGTACCTCACAAAACTATGTGCAGATTTTTTTACACTGTTAAAACTGTCAATAGATTAAAAAAATTATTAATCTCTTATTTTCAACTTGTTTTTACAGATAAAGACAACAATCTAATAATATTAAACTGAATTTTAAAAAATGTAATGCATTATTTTATTTAGGTTAACTAATTTATTTAGGGTTTATATATATATATATATATATATATACATACACATAATGCAAAATGATGGACCCCAGTTTGAACACCCCTGGATTAAAAGTACCTGTTTTAGAATGTTGGTATATTTTTTACTCGTTTTCTCACTATAGCAACCAATTAGTTTCTCTTGCCTCTTAAGTTAAAGGACATTTGAAGCACGACAAACATGACATACTTAAAGGTACTCTTAAGTAGGCACAGTGTTGGATGTGCACGCAGTGTTTATTTATCTCAGGGCCAGTTTGTCCAGGCTCCTGCACTCAGTCATCACTATAGTATCATCACAACTTCACTGTTTCCCCTTGTGTCATCAAGTGTATTCACACTTTGATCAAATGGTCCTTTCTGTGTTTGTTTTTCCGCAAAAGGTCTCCACTGTCCCATTGAAAAGTAGTGGCTTGAGATCATCGGGTGCAACATGTACATTTGATTAGCCATGATATTCTGTGTGAGGGTTTTCGTCCATGTTTTGATTATAAAAGATGATAAATAGTGGGCTTCCAATTTAGGCCTTATGTAAGCATTATGTAACAATGTTGAACTCAATTTAGTTTTATGGAAAAAGTATATCAAATGCTCCTGATCTCACTCCAGTCTGATTTTTAGTTTTATCTTGCAGTATACACAAACTCAATAAAGATGTCTGTACAGCTTCCAAATACTTGGAATATGATGCATTTTTGCTTCCTGTTTTACACCTTCCCATAAGCAGTCAGTATCATGGAGGACGGCCTCTGACAGCCGATATGATCCATTCCATCATGCACTGTG